GTTTGCCTTCAGATTACGCCCTCAGCCGTAAGTTCAAGTGTGGGTTCCGTAGGGTTGCTACGCAATTTCACACGGTTTGAATGGGGTTTCTCGAAATTTCCCATTGTCCCAACGGTTTAAACATCGCATCTTGATTGAAATCATATTTCCAATTGGTAATTTTGAGTGGAATACTGTTTGTCCACACACAAATGATTTAGGGTGTATGCAATTTGCCCACACCCTTTGTGAAGTAGCTAGCAGTCAACCACTGTTGCTCTCAGCTTTTTTGAGTATGCGGTTACAATCACTAATTCATTTGCTGTGTTGTTTTTCCTAGGGAGTTGCATGGCAGCGTTCGGATTGTTCATTTTTTAATGCTTTTTGTAGTTGTTCCGTGCTTCAAAACGCTCATAACCAAAAATCGTGGCCATTTAAGCGCGCATTTCAGGTCATGCCTGCTGAATCGTCTTCTAGCGAGGACAACTTGATTCAGTGCTATAATAAAGGCTGCGGGCAGAAGTTCGACCCGAACGACAATAACCCAGGTACTTTTTTCTTGCGAACTCTGCCCTCTGTTTCATGTAGTAAACAGATTTTCTTTCTTCCAGACTCATGTTTATATCACCCCGGTCCGCCGTACTTCCACGATGCTTACAAGATATGGAACTGCTGCAATAAAAAAAGCACTGACTTCGGTACCTGGCTCAACTTTCCGGGATGTACTCGTGGGAAGCATAATGGGGAAAAACCTGCTGACATAGTGAAAGTGGCCGCTGTGAAGGAGATACGGCCAGAAAAGGTGAGTCTACCCATTCTAGTTTTGTCGTCTTTTGGGAAATATACTTGTTTCTGGTCTCTTGATAATGCTCAAATCTCTCCTTCCTCACGTTTGTAAGCCGAACTGAACCTCTTGTTTTCGATAATATTACGTCTCATGTCTTATAAATTTAGTACCAAAAAAGTACGGAGAAGGGTCACACGATAACAACCTCACAATGGGCTGTTCCCATATGATGGGAAGCATTCTCAAGTGGTTGTATGTGTAACTGATGCTGTTCTTTTCAAAATATTTAGCATGCTAACAAGGAAAGGATCCTGGGTTACCAGGCCATTTGAAAAAAAAAGATGTATACGCCTGGATTTGTTTGAATGCTGACCTCAACTTTCTTCCAAAACCGTGAAAAGATTCTCTGAGCAGGGTCAGGAAGCGAAAGAGCGTAATGGTAGCGGTCGGGACTCACACTCAGGACGCCATAGGATCGATTCCTTACCGTGCTTAGTACTTTCCGTTTTCGGATACAGATAAATAGGCTGTTAAAACCGTTTTAGCTGGTTCAAAAAAATCAGAACAACAAACATGCTAAGGGATCCTACGTCGACTATTGCTCTCTTTTACTTCTTAATTCCGTTTAGAGAATCGTTTAGCAAATTTGGAACCTAGATGAGATCACCGTTTGAAGGCATATAGACTTATCCATCTATTATATGGACATGGCTACTTAGGATCCATGTGAGCCTATTTTTTGAGGAAGAAGATGTCATCGTGTGGAAAGGATTGAACAAACCAGCTGAACGTAAGGCGGAAGAAGAAAGGAAGGAAGTAGCTCTGAAGGTCAGTATCCTTGGCATCTTATTCAAGCAATGAAGTGGTCTGTTTGCATTTATTTGTTTGTCTTATGTTATTTCGTTTTTCATTGGGATTTTTCTGCTAATCTTCCATATTTTTTACATCGTTCCGTAAACCATTCGAAAGAAAATTGTGTGCTCCATTAAATTTCATCTTTAGTTTTACAATTTTTCAAGCATGTTCTAATTCAGACTCGCGATATGTGAGGTCTAGGCGACCAAAAGTCTCAATAAACGGCAAATATTTCAAACTCTCCCATTCAAAAACAAGTCATGTCGTTCATTTCCAATTTGGGTCTTTTTTGCCAGAACTCGATGATTGGCCGCCATAACGTCGAATCTGAATTTCACCCTCCCAGACAATACCTAACCATTTGGCGCGGCCGCGGCGAATGCGGCCGAGTCGATTGTGCCCGCGAACTGTGCTGTGCTGAGTTCGCGGGCACCTATCAACTCGGCCGCGTTCGCCGCGGCCGCGCCCAAATGGTTAGGTATTGTCTGGGGCCTGAATTTCAAGGTTTCAACCCCTGAAGTGTTTGAAATGTGGGAACATTTATAAGAAATGATTAAGTTTGAAATGCATGCCTGATCGATTTGATCGCTTTCATGGACGCTCATCCGATCGTAACGATCGCTCAGCAATACATACGGTCTATAGTCCGACCCGTCCGATCAGATCGGGCGATCGATTCCTATCTAATGGTATGCCATCGTTGTGATCGGACGATCGACTGGCCGATGTCAGACTTTGCGATTGGAGCGATTTTGCACCATTTGCCGT